TCAGAAAAAAGATATCGAACAGAACTAAATCAAACTGCTATTTTCAGGACACCTCTCGAACAGTTGGAACAACTTCAATACAGAGTCGAAACAATAGTGATTCGCTACAAGCACATTGCAATACTCACTATACAACGACTCAAACTATGCCAGTTTCAAATAGTGAGTATACAGTGACTCCTCAAAAATCGAACTCGTGATCACATTTTCCCATGAAACTAAAGATGATCTCTGACCACTTATATATCATTCGACGCGCAATGAAAATCTCCACAATATGGGTTAATAGGAAACTTGACGAAGCCTGACGCAGGCCTTATGAGCTGAATACTAGAATTTTTCATTGGTCATGGGTACGCAAAGGGAACTCACATTTTTCCATGAAACTAAAGATGATCTCTGATCATTTTTACATCATTCGATGCGCCGTGTAACGTTCTACAATATGTGTTGATAGGAAACTTAACGAAGACGGCAGCAGGTTTTATGAGTTTAATGCTAGACTTTCCATTGGTCGGGACTACGGCAAGGGAACTTTTCCTTACTTTTTTCTGTGAAACTAAAAATGATCTCTAATCATTCATACATGATTCGATGCACCGTGATCATGGCATTCGAGATTCTCAACTATGTCTGCTCGGAGATGGACACGTGCTCGGGGAAAGCGAGCCCTGTCCGACTGACGATAGCTGGAGAGCTGGGACTTACATGATTTTGTAGAGTAACGTCCGGACTACCTACGCAAGCAAAAAAATTACAACATTGTATGCTATTTTTCTGAGAATGGAGCTGATTTTTCAGAGATCTCCTGAAAAATCGGATTTCCAGGATTTCGAGAAACATGTTTCTACTTAACAATACATGTCATCAGGTGTCTCCTTTCAGAAACTGAAAACCGTAGCACGATAGTCCGTTCCCTTCAAACGTTATTCAGAAGATAGCCACGACTCTTATAATTTGAAAAGGATAATAGTCTCTTTACTTATCATTTTCAGGACAGAGTGCGTTACTGCATTCATCTATTCACATCCGAAGGCGAAGTCTGAAGTCTTACCTTTGATTGATTGTTAGAGTACATTAAATGCTTAATTGTTCCTACTCTCCTCCTGATCTTACATTCAAGTTCCGATGCTGCAAATAAACTCTTGAAGGAAGCGATTCCGACCTTGAATGCGACTGGCTGATGTCAACTCCGGCAACGGAGCTTTTCTACCGAATTGTTTTTTTCTGATTTTATACTCACTACCATACGAACGGGATAAGGTTTAACTGGTGGTTTAACTCTACTCGGCTCACGTGCGCAACGCTTGATGTAACTTTTATGAATATCGAGATGCTGAGATGAGTGCATTTTCTTCAGTAATGGCTGCTCGTTTATTTGTAGAAAAAAAAATTTAAAATATTAGTTATTCTTGTTTGTAGGTTACACCATCAATGCTCGAGTATCTTCTCTTCGGGTACCGAAGAGCTGCAAAAATTTTCCGTATAACTAATGTAATTGATTTTTTGACCCCTCAAGATAGTCTAAAGCTATGAAAACTATACCAGCGGAAAGCGGAGGGGATAACGAACATCTGGTAAAAAAGGTTTTTGAAAAAAAGCTTTCTTAGGGCGGCAGATCGATGTTAAGATGAAGTTGGCATAGTCAACATGTAAACTCCATACCTCGGTAATGAATGGATGAAATTTTTTTTAGACATATCAATAGAAAGAGCATCACAAACTACGCAAGAAAACGGCTGATTTAAAATTTTACGAAAAGAAGTAGACATATTTTTTTCGTCTGTTTGTTACGAATCTCATTCAAAGGATCTTCATTTTTGTAGGGTTTTTATATTTTATCATTTTCTTTATGACTTATTTATATTCATTAAAACCGCCATTAAGCGAGCTTTAAAAGTACGGATCGTCTTTTTGTTTTATTTAGCTTTATCACTAAGAGAATACATTTTTTCTAAATCAGGAGCGAAAAAGTCGGAATTCTATCTGTAATTCTCTATTTTCTCAACTACTATCCATCCCAAAATACAGGATCGGCGGGCATTTTTTGAATAACTTTTGATAGGAATGAGATAGAGAACTGCGATTTTCGCTGTTCAATAGCCAAGACTTGAGCAGAACTTTTCACAAGCGGAAGCAACTTTTGAAAAAATTCCAGAGATTAGGTTTCCAGAGGATCTTTGGAACCAGCTATCCTTTGGAAACCAGCTCCGTTCTCAGAAAACTAACATACAATTTTAGTAATCTTTTTGCATGCGTAGATAGTCCGGACGCTACTCTACAAAATTATGCAAGTCCAGTAAACGCTCAGCACAGTTCATAAAGCATAATCGAAGACGAAAAAGATGAATGTGAGCTGAGCACTGGCTTAAGGTTTTCCAGAAACCTTCTGAAAAACCTCAGAGCATCAGTGTTCTGCTGAACCACTTTTTCGGCATGGCCAACAACATATGGCACCTTTTAAGCCTTTCGTGAAAATTTCCTTGAGTCAGCATGAGATTTGATCGAGATATAAGGATTTTAATTTTTATATAGATAATAAGAGATACACAACCTTTTTCATCATGAAAATCGACTATTTTCTGTTGACGCTTCGTCTTTATTCAAAAGACATCCTCAGCCAAAAGCTAGAGAGTCGGGACTTGCAGTCAAATGACTGACATTTGACTGAGGATGTCTTTTGAATAAAAACGAAACGTCAACAGAAAATAGTCGATTTTCATGATGAAAAAGGTTGTATATCTCTTCTTCACCTTACAAAATGACTCAATTTTAATTTTTGCTAGTAACAGGCGAAGACCGGTTTTTCAATACAATGCCTCTGGCGAAATTATATTCGTTTCTACACAAAAACAAATGTTGCCACTATGCTCAGCGTAGTCGATTACCTATAGTCCATGGCATTTTGAGATTCCCAGAGATGTCTGCTCGGAGATAGACACGTGCTCGGAGAAAGCGAGCCCTGCCCAAGCGACGATAGCTAGAGAGCCGGGACTTGCATAATTTTGTAGAGTAACGTCCGGACTATCTACGCATGCAAAAAAATTACAACATTGTATGTTAGTTTTCTAAGAACGGAGCTGGTTTTCCAAAGATCCTCTGGAAATCCAATCTCTTGAAAAACCGACAATGAATTTTCCGTAAAGGCTGGTTACACCAACTTGTGCTCTACACTTCTGCGCTTGAAACTTTGAAAACAAAGTCATCGACCGTGCGACAGTCATGCTTAAAAAAGGCAAAAAATGAAATTCTCCGCCGACTATATCTCGTGAACGAAAACACTCTTGAGAACTGACGAACTTTTCTCAAAACGGGAAATGTCTAAATTTACCAGAATCGTTGCTCTACATAATCACATAACGTTCTCAAAATTTTGTGACTGTCGATTGAGCACTATCTGGTGTTTCGCATACGAACTGGCTCTTTAGAATGTTAAAGTAATAGTTATTTTTTATTAGGATATGTTTTTCTTATAGATGGACTCATTATTGTACGAGCGGCTAACTGCTGGATTCGTTCCCATCGCTGAGATTCTCTAAAATCTCTGACTTTTTGTAAACGATCTTCTTCTTCCAGCTGCATTTCGAGTTCTTCAAGTTGATCATGTAAGCTAAGTGATGAAGTTTCTTCAGATTCGAGCTGAAAGTAATTTTTCAAAAAATAGACAGAGAAGTTTGGTACAGCTACAAACTCTGATCACTTACTTTTCGTTGCAATAAATCGATTCGAGATTTTAGAAGCTCTTTATCTCGTTGTATGTCGGTGATTCCATCTTGTAGTTGAGAATTATTTAATTCCGAATCATTCATTCGACGGCTGGGTAAACTCCTGTTTGGAACTTCAGTGCTTCGCTGATATTGTAATTGTTTTAACTAGAAAAAAAACTATCATACTCGAAAACGGTAACTTTCCTAGAAACTGTCATACTTGTTTGTTATCAGTTGGGATTCATACCTCGTTTTTATTAATAGTTTGAATTAAGCTCGCTGAATCAGTTAATAAGCTCCGTATCTGCAATACAAAATTAACAAATTTATTTCGTAAATTTAGGTTTCCGCCTGTTCCACCTTTTTGTAATGTTTTGCCCATTTTTCATGTTCTGCTTTGTCCATACAAAAAACATAAATCGATTTTAGCTGTGATAAATCATGAATTCTTGGGACAATTTCTCGACCGAACCGTCCGCTAACAATCAAAACAATTGTTTTTTCTCGGTTTTCTCGGATATATGCATCACATCGATCAATTGTATCAAATGTATCGAATGAGCGGTAGAGGTTTTGTAATTCAATTTTTATTTGTATGTTGTTTTCACTATTCGCTGCTAGCCAAACCAAATGTACAAATTCATCATTTGTTTTTGGCATAGAAAACTTTAAATTTTTCGAACATATTCCATTGTGCTCATTGACATTTGATGATGAAAATGAACTGATGAGCGATGGGGTGACGGATGGGTTTTTTGAAGTGTCAAACGGAGGCAACAACAATTGAATAGGAGGTTCTATTTCTTTCAAATGAATAATATGTAACCCATCAGCTGCGTTCATTTGGCTCACAACTTTGAGATAAGTACCTGGCATTAATAATATTTCTTCCTCTTTCTGAAAATACGAATGATGTCGAATCCTTTTTCCCCTTTGACATTGAATAGAAAATATAGTTCTTTGACCAGTATTTCCGACATATACTGACGATTCTAGAACTTCGATCGATGATGTACATGATGATACAGCCCACCATGTACAAATTGTATCTCGTTTGTAGTCATTACTCAGATTGGTTCTAACACCTCGCCAAACGGTGTCTGTTACAGTGGGTAATTTCCAGAGAGCTGTGAGTAATAACTTTAAATAAGCAGACCACGGAACAAGTTGTCGTCGATCGACTTTCCGTAGCGCACAATTGAGCTTAAAATAGAGACTCTCCTCCCGCTCATTTCATTCCATCGTGTACAAATGGATACATGCTGATTCGTCTTGAATGAGGCCATCTCGAGGTGTTTTTGAGTTCTGTTTCGCCACCCAAACTTTTGATCGAAGATCACTGACAATAGTAAGAAGTGGCTCAATAGCCTCTTCTAATGAAACAAGTGGTTGCTTTTCATAGAGCGTTATGGGTGCCAACATTTGCTTCGGCTCATTTTGAATATCATCAACAAATCGGGGATTTACTTCATTATTATGCGCTGCCATGATAGCTATCGTATTGTCAGCATGTTACTTTCAAAATAAATGAATGTTTTCTTCCTCGCCGGAGAAAAAACTACAATGACCAAAAATAACAACTACCTTTGAAATTTTCTCTAGAGAGTGTGCGTATTATTTACAAAAGAGAAATGTCTATACATTATGAATTTATTTCTTCATTTCTTCACCATAGTACGTTTTTCATCTCAAATAAACTATTTTTTGAAAACATTTTATATATTTTATGTAAAAGAAACCGATGAGAAAAAATTACTCCGTTTTTACTGGAGAGAAAAAGGAAGAAAAGAAATAGAGAAAAAGGATTTTTCTGACATAAACAACTTCTCGTTCAACTATTTAACTAATGCACTGACAAAATTCAGTTGTATGTTAACGTGTGATCACAATTTGTTGATCAATCTAATGATATTCCTCTGCATATTCTTGTCAGCATGCTAATTCGGCGTCATATCCCCCCTCTAACTTATGCAGCTATTGCCTTCTTTCACCAAAGAAAATGTTTGCATCTCATGTTGATTAAATGCTAGCAGGATAAGATGGATTATATCTAAAACTTAATGAAGGAATATTTTGGATTTAGAACAATTTCGAGATATTCGAAAATGTAAAGATGGATATATCATTTCTCTTCTGTATTTTTCTAAACAAATCAAGATTTTATAGAATTTTCTCTAAATATATTTATCAAATATGATTATGAGATTTGTCCAGTTAGTTATTGAAAAGAGAGAAAAAGATTAGTGTCATGGCTCTGTTTGCTGCTCGACTAATTGGACAGTGCACGCTAATGAATAACAATGGATAAATATAACCGACAGAATACACATTTAAATTACACGTCTATCAAGTAGTAATACTGTTTCATTTGACAATTCACAAATGCATTCTCCGTATGAAAACTTAGATTCTTTTTGACACAATATGTCTGGTAACTCCTTAGGCAAATCTCGTCTGTGTCTGAAACCTGTTTTAGTCAGAACTTTTAAACGTCACTGTAACAGTGTTCATACCAGTATTGATACTGATCAAAAATTCCAGAAACAACTGGTCTTAGAATTTAATAATTTGTTATGTATTTTTTTCGTTTTTGAACACACTATATAAAAGAACAACAAAAAATGCAGTTTTCTTCGTGTATCTATAAAGTGTGATGGTAACTGATTATACAACAGTAAGTCTGAAATGAAAAAATGGCGAGTTTTGTATCATTTTTTTACTTTACCAGATTTGTCAGAAAACGTTTTTGAACTTACTCCGATTTTTGAAGCTACAGCCCCCTGCTTCAACTTCTTTGTGCCGCCACTGCTGGCAATAAGTCGATTTTAAAAGGTGATCGCACAGTAAAATGTGTCGTACCTCCTATGAGACAATTGTGTCGCAAAAGAATGTGTCGTATGATTGTGTCGTCGTTACTAAGAACTTTTAGATACAGTTCTTGAGGTCTTTTCAGGATCTGCCAGAATCAATCCGAGGCCTTGACTACGCCATTAAGCTCAAATTTCGGAACTGAATGCTTTGAAGGTCTGTGAATATTACGGGCGGATTGAGCTTGTCAACATTACGTAGTGCACCCTAAACGAACTAAAAATATTGGTATCGTCCCGATTCGTCGACAAATCGGACACTTCAAAGAATATACATCAAAGAATTTCAAAGGCGGGAGGGGCGGTGTGAGAGTGAGTGTCGACGAATCGGGACTGAATCAAAATATTCTTATAATCGAATAAAAGATCAAAGATACTTTATTTCCATGGTTTTCTCTATGGTAGAAATACTCAGCAGATTATGTCGCAAGCGGCTCCCGGTGTCGCAGATGATTATGTCACAATTTGCGACACATTATTTTTTGATGTGCTAAGTCAGAGTGATTACGTCTTTCGTGACATGTTCAGAAAGACTATAATAAATGACTCTATTGAACACAAGGTCACTGAAAAAAGTTGAATCATACACGGCGCCATATTATGTGAGAAATCAATCGCTTTATGAAGATTGACATGAGACTTTTTTGTTCATTGAGTTTGAAATTTTTTGTAGTGTCAATTTTTTAGCTTGAAAAAGCGAGCATTGACTTTATCAAACCACAATATACTTAAGAATTTCAATATGTAAAGAATATTATCTCTTGTCACGTATAGAATATTTAGTAGTTTGATTTGTTCATATGGTACGTGAGAATATTACATATGTATGCAGCATCAGAAAGCCTTGGACCCTGACTGTTGATGATATTAAAAACAGTAAGTCAACTACTATCCATTTAAATATAGGACTGATTCTAGGAAATTTTGAATAATGTCCGATAGAATAAATGAGCTACGGACTTACGAGTTCTGGCCATTCGATAGCCAAGATCGGGGTACGCAAGCATACGGGAAGAAAAAGCTAATCACCGTCTGAAGATGATGTGTAAAAGAGTTTCGCGCTAGTGTTTATTGTCGCAAGAAAATTCAATTAGAGTGCCTACAAGTTCCATTTTGAGAAGAAAACGAAAAAAGATATGGTCTGAACCTAAAAACACTAGAAAAATGATTGTTTTCTCCCTCCATTAGGAACATTGCGGCTCTACGGTTCAGAATGAAGACGAGGAAAAGAAGGAATCATTGAGACCCATTAACCCAGAAGAAGATATAAACTAATTATCTTTCAAAATGAAAAATTTTGAAATTTTCTGTTTCACTTAGTTCCTTTCATGGGATGCATGACTCATTCTACCAAACAGCTGATGTCGCTGATAATAAGACCACATCCAATATGTTAGACAATGCCCAGGGGTCCCTTCGATTCGAGCTCGCAGCCAGGACGGGTGTTACACGTCTCTGATTCCCTAGAAAACCTGAACGCATCTACTATTGTGGATCTTTGTCCGTAACACTCATTAGTGATCCTGTGTATGTACGTCTGTCAGACTGCCACATGGCTATATGTATGTATGTCCGATGTAAAGT